AGAAGGGAGAGTGTTGACATGTCGTGGGGTTGTTAACCAATGTCATAAAACAATATGTGTGCTGACTGTTTAATGAGAAACTATTTGTTCTGTAAACCTTCATCTAAAGTACAATTTAAAAAAATTAAAAAACAACAACAACAACAACAAAAAAAAAAACGCCGGATGAAATGCTAGAAGTGTCACTCGTCTATGCCATGAAATATGGAATACAGCTCTGACCAACCGACTGGAAGAGATCCATATTTGTGCCCATTCCAAAGAAAATATTATTAATATCACATGCAAGTGAAAATTTTTGCTGAAGATAATTCAAAAACTATTGCAGCAGTATATTGACAGGGAACTACCCGAAATTCAGGCCAGTTTCAGAAGGGGATGTAGAACGAAGGATATCATTGCTGATGTCAGATGGATCTTGGCTGAAAAGAGAGAATACCAGAAAGACGTTTATGTGTTTTATTGACTACTCAAAGGCATTCGACTGTGTGTATCATAACAAATTATGGATAACATTACAAAGAATGGGAATTCCAGAACACTTAATTGTGCTCATGAGCAACCTGTACACAGACCAAGAAGCAGTCATTCGAACAGAACAAGAGGATAGTACGTGGTTTAAAGTCAGGAAAGGTGTGCATCAGGGTTCTATCTTTTCACCATACTTATTCAGTCTGTGTGCTGAGCAAATAATCTGAGAAGCTGGACTATATGAAGAAGAACATGGCTTTAGAATTGGAGGAAGACTCATTAACAACCTGTGATATGCTGATGATACAACCTTGCTTGCTGGAAGTGAGGAGGACTTGAAGCACTTACTGATGAAGCCTTTAGTATGGATTACATTGCAGTATAAAGAAAACAAAAATCCTCACAACTGGACCAGTAAGCATCATCTTGATAAGTGGAGAAAATACTGAAGTTGTCAAGGATTTCATTTTACCTGGATCCACAATCAACGCCCATGGAAACAGCAGTCAAAAATTCAAACAATGTATTGCACTGGGCAAGTTTGCTGCAAAAGACCTTGTTAAAGTGTTAAAAAGCAAAGATGTCACTTTGAGTACTAAGCTGCACCTGACTCAAGCCATGGTATTTTCAATTGCCTCGTATGCAAGGGAAAGCTGGACAATGAATAAGAAAGATCGAAGAAGAATTGATGTATCTGAATTATGGTGTTGGCGAAGAATACTGAATATACCGTGGACTGCCAGAAGAATAAATAATCTGTCTTGAAAGAAGTACAGCCAGAATGCTCCTCAGAAGTGAGTATGGAGAGACTTGGTCTTACGTATTTTGGACACGTTATCAGGAGGGACCAGTCCCTGGAGAAGGACATCATGCTTGGTAAATAGAAAGTCAGCAAAAGAGAGGAAGACCCTCAACGAGATGGACTGACACAGTGGCTGTAAAGATGGACTCAAGCATAACAAGGACTGTGAGGATGGACAGGACCGGGCAGTGTTTCGTTCTGTTGTACATAGGGTCTTTTTGAGTCAGAAGTGAATGGACAGCACCTAACAACAGCAAACCTTGAAATAAACCCATTGTTGACATATCAAGGCTGAGATTAAACAAACATAAATTCAAGTTCTTTGAGGAATGCACTCACATAGAAAATAGATTTGTCATATTCACTAAAGCAAAATAAATGTGCCTATACTCACGTGTAAGCTTCAAAGTCCCCATTGTTGATTGCTTCGATCAGTTGCTCAGTGACTTTGATAATCTCTTGCTTTCGTGCTAAAGGCAAGGATATAGACTTGGGTGAGAATAAAGGACAAAAGTCATATGAAATATTAGTCTAACAATATTGTTAATTTATGTAACAGGGTATTACAAGATATTAAGACACATCCCTCACGGAAGTGAGGTGTTTTCTCGTCAAGATCTCGCTGCTCAGGATGCAGAGACCAACAGAATCAACCTCTTCTGGGAGCCTATTAGGAACACAGATTCTCAGACACACTCCAGTCTCTGACTGAGAATCTGTACTTTAACAGGATCCTCAGCAGATTCCTGGGCACCTTCATGTTTGGGAAGCACTGCTCTACATCACCGATCACTTGGGTTTTGTAAATGATTCTATTTGTTAGAAAACAACCATTGTTGGCAAGATCAAGGCTATGTTTTCTGAATTAGTTCTTACTAACTTTATTGAGTTTGTGAACACTTTTTCTTAAGCATTAACAGACATGTTATTAAAAAAGGGAATCTTAAAAAAGTATCACTCTACTGATATGTATAAAATATATACATATCAGAATAAAGATGATATAGTGAATTGAGACATTTAAGTTTATATAATTATTTATATCTTAACTGTTCAGCTCAATCAACTCTACAAAAAAGAGGATACCAATACTTTAATTGCCATTATATGTAGATAAATGACCTCTAGCAAATTCTGTAAGTTGGAAAAGTGACACATGAATCAATACTGTGAAAGTTAAGCAGATAATCTGAAGGAATCCAGTCTATATAAATGTCAATCCCAACACCAAACATTATTTGTTTCTATTTCTAGCCCGCATTGGTAAAATTATTAATAGTTGTTTTGGCTCAAATCTCACCTATTAAGTAAACTCTGATTACATTTGCCTCAAGTGCTCTTTCCCTTTTTTGGTGACATGAACCGTTTGTGTTCTACTGCTAACCGAAAGGTCAGTGTTTCACTAACCCACCCAGTGCTGCTACGGACGATAGGTCTAGTGATCTGTTTCTATTAAGATTACGGCCAAGAAAACTTTATATAGCAGTTCTACTCAGCGTATATGGGGTCGCCATGTATTGACTCTACAGCAACTAACAACAGTGTCTGTATCATTCATTTGGCAATTAAGCATATGTTATACCAAGGCACCTTTAGTTATCCCAAATTACTTGTTTTAAATTGTTATTAAACTTTACACACTGTGTATTCTGTCTCCCTAGTTTAAATTAAAACCTCCATGTGGGCAAAGAACAGCTTATTTCTTTGTATCTGCTACAAAGTGTTGTCCAGTATCTTTAATAAAATCGATGCTCAGTAAATTTGTCAATTTGATGAAGTGATATTAATGATAACCTCTTCTTGATTTCAGAAAACTGTTCTCTCACTTATGAAATTACTGTGTGAAATATTCAAAAAAAATAAATTTCATTAAATTTTTTTTTAAGGACATTGTGATACTCCTTTAAAATCACTGAAAATAGACTGGGGGATCACAAAAGGTTACTTCCAACCTATTTTAGAGGCAGTGGGGCTGACGTTCATTATGGAAAAAGCTGAAGTCTGCTTTTAGTTCTGTATCGATTAGTGCTAACTACTTAGCTTTTTTTATGACTTCAGTCTTCATTAAGCAGAGTTTATGCATACTTAAATGTTTATATCCATTTTAAATTCCCGGTTATGACATTCCCAACTTAAGATAAATCTTCCATAAACCCAATTTGACTTCAATGAGACTATATGAGACTACCTCATAACAAATCCAAGTCATAGACTATCTAATAAAATATAGTGATTATTAAATTTGGCCATAAAATGGTTGCAAATGACATTAAGCTCTATAATACAGAAAATCATCATATACATTAAAATTCATATTTAGATACATAATTACCTTTTATTTATATAAAATAACACAAAACAGGTTTTCTCTGCTCCTAATGCACACATCTACACATAACATTTCTTGCCCTCGTTCATCTCATTGATGGATATCCATAATATATACAACATCAAAATACTAACAGAAGTAGTAGCAAGGAATAATTTTGCAAGAGGGATGCTGCCAATGGCATATTTTAGCTTAATTTAGTTAGGCACTATGTGATTCATCTGTCTGTGGACTCAACAGTATGAACATTTGGCAAAAGCACATGACAGCTGACCTGATTCCTGAATATAAAGGACATCAGCGAGGAGGAGTCAGAAAATGAGATTAGGAAAATGTGGCTGTCCAAAATTTCTTCCTTATATTAAATTTTAGTTTAAAACTGTTTAAACAGATTTTTCAGTGTGCTATATGGCTTGGCAGGAAAAACTGCAGTTTAGAACCCAAAGCCAACTTCTTTAAACTAACAAGAAAGAAGAACAAAAATGGAACACAAGATCAGGGCTCTGTGTAGACAGCTTTATTAGACTAACACTCATTTTATAGAGTGAAGTTCAGGATCCCTTTCTGAAGTTCTGCATTCCCTCGTAAGTATAATACAGAATTAGAAACATGGAGAGTATATGGCAGTCTCTCACTCTCTGAACCCCTGTGGAAACACTTATTAGCTCTTAAATATTTTACATGCCACAAAAGGCTTAGTTTTTGTCCTGCATAATCAAAGTAACACGCATTTCCTTCTCTCTTCTTCTGATTCTCAGAAACAATGGTGCTTTAGCTGGCAGGACAGCAAATGGGAGTTAGCCAGATGCTTCTGTACTGCGTCATCATGAAAGCAACATGACTATTTCTCTTAGGAGGGGCCGAGAACTCCGGCATCTTTAGAGACCTTATTTCCTTGGGGCAAGGGAGCATGAATGAGTCATGGGCAGCACATGACAGCTGACTTGTTAAAGGAAAGCAGAAGGCTGGAGATGAATCATTTGTATACAGTAGCCCACTTGTGGTTGGAACTGTTTCCACAGGCCCAGTGTCTGACCTAGAGAAGAGGGAGGGTTTGGTGCTAGTTAGTTCTACTTTCTCATCAGCAGTGAGGTTAAGGGATGGCCACTGTGCCAGGTGCCTGGATGGCTATGTTCCATGGGGAAGGTCCATCCATCATATGGCCCTCCCTCTTCCTGAATATCAAGTAACAACCATTCCATAAGTTACAGTGCGAAGAGCTTGTGCTGTGTCACTAACTCTACCAAGAAGAGGGGAGAGTGTATCAGTAAGTCATTCCTGGAACATCACAAGCTTCAACCACTCCACAGCTAGCCACTTAAGCATAGGTAACTGACTGCTCCTTAGAAGCAGGGATGGTGAGACTTCATCTCACATACTTTGGACATGTTATCAGGAAGGACCCGTCCCTGCAGAAGGACATCATGCTTGGTAAAGTGAGGGTCAGTGAAAAAGAGGAAGACCCTCAGTGAGATGGACTGACACAGTGGCTGTAACAATGGGCTCAAACATAGCAACGATTGTGAGGATGATGCAGGACCAGACAGTGTTTCATTCTGTTGTACATAGGGTCACTATGGTTGGAAGTGACACGACGGCACCTAACAACAACAACTGACTGCCGAGTGATTTTATTTATAGAATTGAGGTGTTCAAGCCCACACCTGCAAGTCCCAAAATAGTTTCAATGATCCTGGATATCTAGGTTCCTAGGGGAAAGGAAGAAGAGGAAAGCAAGAGGGAGGGATGCTCAGATTCTGAGTGCAATTAGTTTCCATGCAATTATGCACAAGAATTGGTGACATTTTCATACAGTTTCAAATTAATATTTATTGGCTCTTTTACTGCTCTAATGAGGCCTGGAGGAGTAAGATAAGGGGTTGTTGTACCCTGAGTTTAAAAAAAAAAAAAATCTAACTCACTGAGAGTGATTATATAACAACAAATTATTGTTTTCAACACTTCCTCAAACATTATCAGATTTGATCATCACAAGATACTCTGAAATATTCAGATAGACATCATCTGTTTAACAGAGAACCTCAAGAGATTAGACGCATTCCTCAAAGGTACAGAGTCTGCTGATTACTTCTTCCCTTCGTCTTGAAACACCCTTCTCCTTTCCCCTAACTCTCCTGTTTTTCTTACCACTTGTCTGATCATACCTTCTCCTTCTCACTTACCATGTTATCTTTTTCTACCTGGACTTTAAATGTTTAATTCCTTTTAAAGGCTCAATTTGAAGCTCTCTTCTTACTACAAACTACATTCCCAGGGTCCTGTCTACACCTGTTTTAAATTACCATCTATGGGCCAATGACTCCCAAATTGTTACCTCCTTTCTAGACCTTTCCTCCAGTACTGCGTGTCAATGCCTATTTTGGAATCTCTACTTGGATACCTCAAAGACACCTCAAAGCCAACACACCCTAAATTGTACTTATGAATTTCTACCACCAAAAATCTATTTGCTATTCCAGGGCCCCTATCTTGGTGAATGGCACAAACCAGTTGCACAAGCCAGAAGAAGCTGGAGAATCATCTTTGACTCCCCAGCCTCAACCTTCTCATTCAGTCCATCAAGTCCATATTTCTCTCCTTCTTCACCACACCCCCGGCACAAGAACCTATCACTTCTTGCCTAGGCTAGGGTTCAGCCTTCCTGCCTGGTGTATCTGTAAGCAGTTTTGCTCCTTGTCATTTTGTTCTCTAAAATGCAGGCAGGTCTTTTAAAAAATGCACATTTCACCAGGTAACCTCCTGTTTGAACTCATCTAGAGACTTCTCATTGCTTCCAGAATAAGAATCAGAAGAGAGACCACAAGACCTTGCATTACCTAGCCCCTGCTATCTCACCAGACCCGATCAAAGTCTGTTTTACTTTATCCTCTCTACTCCAACCAATTCAAAATGGCTGTGCATCCTCCTATTGCCAGCCCTTCACATATATTGTTCTCTCTTCTTGGAAAACTTTCCCTCATCTTTGCTTCTACTTCTTTTGTCAGATCGCAACTCAACTTCTTCAAAAAAGCCTTCTCTGGCCCCCATGTTAGGTACCCTTCTCTCCTAAAGCATTTAGTACACTAACCCATTGCTGTCGAGTCGATTCTAACTCACAGTAATGCTTAATTACATACTTAT